GTTGGGAAGCATTAGATTAAATAAAAGTAATTATAGTTGGAATAAGTGCTCCATGGGAAAGTATGGGGTGCTATGAGAGCCTATCAGCGTTGCCTAACTTGTGTACCGAGTGGTGAAGGAAAACCAGAAGAACCTGTTTAACTGAGGTGTAAAGGATGGGTAGGAGTTGGGGAAGTTAGAGGATTAGTTGTATTGGGCATGAAGAGAGAGTATTATAGAGGGCAGAGACAGACATTCTTGGGCCTTTGGTTTCTATTAAGGATTTACAATGTTACCTGGAGAATAGTAGAAAATCTTTGAAGGATTTTAAAGCAAGGGATGGGCTGCCAAAAGTCTGAGGCATTGTGGCAGTGGTACGGGAATACAGTGGCTTTATCCATCTCATTTTTCACCCACCTCAGCTATTATGAAGCAGCCGGCTGTATTTGACTGAACTCTTGGTCCTGTCCGGGACAGACAGAATCTATTCTTGAGTCACCTGGGGATTACGCACTTTCTGTGGCAAAGAGAGTTAAAGCAGTTTCTGCCGTATAACCAGCTATTCATTTGTATGAACATGTCTTGTAGTGTACTATAGTGATAATTAGTTTACCAGGGAAATAAATGAGGCTGTCCAGCAGTTTTTAGTAAGTCTTTAATAGGTTTTTGTTTCAAGATAATGGCTTTTCTTCTGATTTCCTCCTATAAGACCTACGGTAGTGTTCACTGGTATGTGTGTCTGTGTGTGTATATATTTGTTTATTCAGTTTTTTTGGTCCTTCTCCCACGTAGAAGGCTTCCTCTGTAAAGAGGGTTCTTGTGTTAATAGATAACACAGTAAAATTTTAACTGTTTGTTGTATTTATTGGCATTGTCATCTAGTGTGGTTTTAAATTTCAGTCACCATAAAAACACGGGTGATTAACTTAGATTATGATATTCTATATTATATCAAAATAAATAGGCATATATGGTTTGTACAGTTGTAAGAAAATAAGTAATGATGCTCTCACTTTTTTAAAGATTATATGTATTTGTTTATTTATTTTGGAGAGAGTGAGTGAGCAAGAATGCGCGCAACTGGGGGAAGGAGCAGAGGGGGAGAGAGTGGGAGGAGGGTAAAGAATCCCAAGCAGACTGTGCCGAGTGTGGGAGTCCAACATTGGGCTCAATCTCATGACCCCGAGATCATAACCTGAGCCAGAACCCAAGTCAGATGCTCAACCAGCTGAGCTACCTAGGTGCCCCAGTGCTCTCACTTTCTGATTATGAATAAGTAAAACTAGATTCTGAACTGATCATGAATTGGTGAAACTAGGTAGCATTTATGTAGTCCTTTGAGTGGCAAAGTTTGTTTCATATTGTTTATATAAGAGCCCAGTCTCTTTTTGAAACCTTGTAGTTGATATTTTATTTGAATTGTGAATTATTATGTAACTGTCTCTTACTTATGTGATGGACTGAATTTGTATTGCCCTTTGGGGGATATGCTCAACATTTTAGGTAATACTATGTCCTCATATATTATCCAGCCAGATTTTATTATTATTTATTTGTTTTGATTTACCTGTTCACATACAAGGTCCAAGGAAAAGGGGCTATACTTAATACCCACAGTAGCTTAAAATTTTTAGTTCAGAGAGATGAGATATAAGAAAATGGTTCCTTACAATGTAAATATTGACAGGTCCTTATTTGCTTATACTTTATTAGCGCAAAAATAGCAGTATACACATACAGATACATTGGGATATAATATTATATTTATGATTGCTTCCAGTGTTGGTGTGATACATTAGTGGAGAGTAGGAATAAAGAGAACTCACATTTTTAGTGATGTGACCTGTCATGTGCCAGTCTACATAGAGCTTGAAAACTCTTGATTGAACAGGAAAGGTTATTTTTGGTCAGTGCCCAGCATGGTCCCTGGCACATAGCAAACCTTAAATAAATGCTATTTAAATTGAATGGAAGATTTAGAAAATAGCCAGTTTTACAAGGAACCCTGTGACAATAGAAATAAAGGAAGAGATTAGGTCACACCCAGTTTTAAGCATTATATTTTATTACCAACAGAGTTTTTTCTTTAAGGAATTATGAAATGGTTTGCTCTTTCTGTTAATTTTGTATGCTTTAATAGCAATTTATGGCTCTGTTATTATCAAATTATCAAAATTCATTTGAAAATCATTTTTGTGGTTTTCTTCTGGAATTGCTTGTTGTAATTAGTTCCATTAGTTTACTTTTGCTCTACATGAAGATACACATAGTTTTAAATGGAAGTAAGTTTCTTTACTGAAAATTTGGAGAAGGATATACATTATAGCATTTTCTAAGTATTTCTCATATTTAACTTGGGTTCCACAAGGGGAAGAAAATGAAAATAATGTGTTGATATTTGGACCTCATACCAAATCCATGCTGTAGTTTTGGTTTGTTTTTTGGAATATGCTGGGAAATATATTTTGATATCTTGTAAATTTTTGCTTTGATGTACATTATAGAAACCATTCTGAATTATTTTTAAGAGCTGGTAGCCCATGGATTTATAAATATGGTAAAATACACTTTTTAATTTGTGTGGTACGTAACAGAATTTACCATTTTAACCATTTCTAAGTGTTCAGTTTATTGGTATTGAATACATTCACACTGTTACACAACCATCATCACCATCCATTTCCAGAATTCTTTTCATCTTCTAAAACTGGAACTCTGTACCTATTAAGCAACTCTCTCAGCCTTTCTCCCTCCAGCGCCTGGCAATCACCATTTACTTTCTGTCTCTATGAATTTAACTATTCTAGGTATTTCATATAAGCAGAACCATGTAGTATTTTGTGTGTGTGTGACTGGCTTGTTTCACTTAGCGTAATATCCTCTAGGTTCATTCATGTTGTAGCATGCATCACGATGTCCTTTCTTTTTAAGGCTGAATCATATTCCATTTGTATGGATTACCACATTTTGTTTATTCATTTATCTGTCAGTGGATACTTGTGTTGCTTCTACCTTTTGCTCTTGTGAATAATGCTGCTAACATTCTAAAGTATTTTGGTTGGGTCACTACTTGATCTTTTCAAAAGGTAACATCCTCTTTCATTTATAACATAGTCGTTAGAGGCATAGTCCAGTTAAGAGGGAAGGCTTAGGAGTTGGACTTTGGATTCAAATCCTGGCTGATCCCTTCCTGGATATCTCAGTATGGACAGATAACCCTTTTGATGCCTATTTGTTAAAACTGCCCAATGCAGGTAATGATGGTACCTTACATTATTTGGATTAAATTAGGTAATATATGTAAAGTGCTTAGAGTAGTGTGTAACACATAGTAAATGTTACCAGTATTTAGGAAAAGGAGCCCATTGATTCAGGTACTCATTTGAAGTACTACAGATGGTCTCCAATTAGATAATAATAAAAATTTGAGTTTTTAAACTCATTTTGATGCTGAGAAGGCAAATACTTGGATTAATTAATATTAACCTCTTCTTTGGGTGGGATTTTCTTTGGGCAGGGATAGGTAAAAAAGAGACAGGTTTGAATATTGGGAAAGTTGCCATTATGATCATCTTCACGGGAAAGGGTATCTTAACCAGTTATACTGAATGGTTTATCTAACCAGACAAGAGCCAAAAGAATCAGAACAAATTGGTCTTTGTTATTGCCATCTCTTCCATATCTTTATTCTATTCCAGGACTTTCAAAAGCATAGTGGTGAGCCACATCTTTAGACAGGCAAATGAGACTATGCAGTGGATGGCACAGATTTATAAAGACTGGTCATCTCTGACTCAGTATTTTAGTTTCTTGTAAGCAGGTTGTGTGTCACTAGTTTTTTCTCAAGAAAGACTTGAACTCAGAAGTGGCTTTTAATGTGTTGAATGATTAAACTGAATACTCAAATCTAGAGGGCCCAAAGTAGCCTGCCTGTTTTCGTCTTAAATCCACTAAGATGGCCCCCATATATGGTGCACTGGATTATCAGTCTTGACCATAAGTTTCCTATGCCACTGAATGTGGATGCCACAGAGTACAGTGCTTCTGAATATAACTGTGCTACTTTGAATAATTCATATGTAATTCTAGTAAAATTATATTATGAAAATGTCAATATAAAAGATTATGTTCAACCAACTGAATTTTACTTGTATGTATGACTCTTAACTTGAGTTGTACTTAATACTGTACCACTTAACATTGTAATTAGTAAAAATGTATTCTGGCCCACAATTGTTGAAATCTTTTCTGTTCTTTCAGAAGGATGACTACACCCACTGAATATTATGAGAAGAGACATCTTTTTGTCTAGATGAATTCAGCTATTTAAGGCCATGTAATCCAAAGTGGGTGAAAGTCTAAACTGCCCATTTGGTCTCCCTAACATTTACTCTCTCAGCTTGGGAAATATTTATTCATAAACAAAAAGTACATAATTAATCAAAGTGAGGTCTCTTTCAACGTATTTTACATTTCGTACTCTTGTTTTACAATAACTTGATAACTGTAAAATAAATGTGGGTATTAAAACAGTCATAAATTCAAGCTTTAAGGTACCGTCTTAACATGACCAGTTACCATCTTATTTTAAATGAGCTGTATTTCACGTAGTGTTTAATAGTTTTAACAAAATTTAGTACAGATTGAGTCACAGCGATGCATTTTTGTAGACCTGAGGATTTTGGTGTATAAAACTACTAATTTGGGAATAGTGATAAGACTAGTAATTAAAGGTAAGTAGTTTGGGCAACTTAGTAAAAGTGCAAGGAAACTAATTATTGACTAGTTCCTCCTTTTTTTTTTCTCACATGCTGCATCTCCAGAAACTATAGAAACCTAGAGTTAAAGAATAGTGACTTGATGAGTTCGGTAGTAGAATGAGAAGCTAGATTTGAACATGATACATAAAGGTTAGTAGGTTTGTTGTAGTTCTCAAACTACTTGAGTCAGATACTGAGAAAGTTTGTCCAAGTTAAAGGAGGATATTTTAAGTAGATTTTTAATTTTTTTTTTTTTTTCAGCCAAACCAAACAGGAAGCTTACTTTTCTCTACCTAGCCAATGATGTCATTCAGAACAGCAAAAGGAAGGGACCGGAGTTTACAAAAGATTTTGCACCAGTTATAGTGGAGGCTTTTAAACATGTTTCAAGGTATGGTAATTGAGTACTAGGTAATCTCTTTTAAATGTGCATAATATGTGCTTTTGTTAAAATTTGCTGTAAGCCATTCAAACAAAAAACAGGGAATTTATTTCTTTGAAATTTTCATTTGAAAAGACTTAACTATAAATGGCATTTGTAAATGTGTTAAATACTTTGTGTGAAGGGAAATTTTTGAACTGTTGGAATGGTGGGTATTTGGAGTACTTGAATTAACAGCTTTCCTTTAAGAGACCAAAAGCAGCTGCCATTTTGGAATGAACTTCATTAAGAATAAATAAAGGTATTGAATTGAAAATTTGTGTGCTTATAAAGTTACCATTTTTCCAACTAATATTTCTGGATAAACGTCATACCTTTTCCTTTCATATTGCTTATAATTTTAAGGGTTTTTTTAGTGTTTGTGTATATATCATAACATTTTAAAATGCTTTGGAAGTATAGAATATTTATTTAGAATAATTACAAGCCTGTTGAAAAATTTTGCTACAGAAAAATTCTGAGGGTAAAGGTCAGTGCTTTGGCTTATGCCCCTTTTAAATGCTTATTTCCAAACGTGAATATTTGATAGATTACTGGGTAAACATTATTGGGGTAGACTACTAAATCAGTCTAAATTATAGAATCCAGGGGTAAATGAAGATCTGTGTTGAATGATTTAAGGATGAGAATATACTCCAGGCATGCCCTGCAACTTTAGTCATAGTGGATGCATTTTTTTCAAAAATTACAGTGCTGTATGTTACTTTCTTAAATGTATATTATTTATCTTTCCTTTTAGATATTGTCTTTTACCATCTTTTCAGATTTTGGCATTTCTTAAGAGTTCAGTCCTAAGCCCTCTTTCTGTGGTCATATTCTTCACTTGACCTCTGGGCAATTTTATACATTGCATGTATTTAGTTATTATCCACACCCTAATAACTCACAATCTTACATTCCAGTCCAGATGTGTTTTCTTTGTTTTAGACCTGTGTGTCCTGTTGCCTAATGAATTTCTAGTTGTATGCCTCCAGACATCTCAAACGTACTCATGTTCAAGTTCAACTCATGTTGAACTCATATTATGTCCTTGCTCCTGTCAGACTTCCTCCTCCTCTAGGTTTCACTCTCTCAGCAGATCCAACTCTATCTATCCAGACGCCCGTATGAGAAATTAGGTGTCAGCTTTAACTTTCTCTGATACTGTGATTTATAGTATATCACATTCCCCTTTCTCTTTCACTCCCTTTGTCCCATGTAGTATATATAGTTCCCACAGTTCTTTAGATTTCTTTCCATTCCAGTTTCCATAATGTCATTTCTTTTTTTTTTTTTTTAAATTTTATTTTTTAGAGATAGAGCGCACGCGAGAGCATGAGCGGGGTGGGGGGAAGGAGGGATGGAAGGAGAGGGAGAAGCAGACTCCCAGCTGAGCAGGGAACCCAAGGCACAGCTCTGTCCCAGGACCCCAAAATAGGACCTGAGCTAACGGCAGACACTTAACAGACTGAGCTACCCAGGTGCCCCCATAATGTCATTTTCTATATAATTGCAGGAGCCTCCAGTATTGTTTAATCCACTTACAAAACTAGCCACAGTTGCAGAGCTGATCATAACGCTCCTTTGCCTTTGAGTTGTTCTCATTTGTTCCAGAGATTAAGTCTAAAGTCCTGAGCAAGACCTAAGGTGTTGCTTCATGGCCCTGTCCACATGTTCAAACTCCTGTCTCACATTTCTTCCACACACACAATTTATAGTCCAAGTTTAAGCTAACTGAACTCACTCTTTTAGATCTTTCTACCTTAAGTTTTTTAAATATGTTGCCTCTCCCGAGGAACTCAATAATGTATTTATTGACTGCCTGCCATGTGCCGGGCCCTGAGGATACTTTAGCGAACAGGATAAGGTTCTGTCCTAGTGGAGCTTGCATTTCAGTGGATGACAAAGGTGATAACTAGATATACAGGTGAATATATACTATGCTAGTAGGTAAGTATTGTGAAGAAATAAATTAAGGAACTAAAGGGTAGGAGATTTACATCATGCGATAAAGAATGACTATTTGGGGGAGGTGGCATTTGAACAGAGACTGAAGGAAAAGATGAAATGAGCCACTTGAGCATTCTAGGAGAGGCTTCTATGTAGAGGGAATACTTGGCAGAAATAGCTGTGTGCTGGGCATATTTGAGGATCAGCAAGGAGATTTGTATGGGAGAAGGTTTGGTTTTTTTTTTTTTTAAGATTTTATTTATTTATTTGACAGAGACACAGCAAGAGAGGGAACACAAGCAGGGGAAGTGGGCTCCCTGGGAGCCCAATGTGGGGCTCGATCCCAGGACCCTGGGACCATGACTTGAGCTGAAAGCAGACGCTTAATGACTGAGCCACCCAGGTGCCCCTGTATGGGAGAAGGTATTTAGAGAATGTAGACTGAGAAGTAGCCAGGAAGTAGACATGTCCACCTTGTGGTCCAGCATAAGGATTTTGGTTTTATTCTTGGTATGATTGATAGCTCTTAGGGGATTGAAGAGCCATATGATTTGATTGACATTAGTAGAGCATAGTGAAGAGTAAGAGCCTAAGAGACCAATGAGAAGACCTAAGAAAACCAGGCAAGAGGTAATAGCAGCTCAGTCTACAGTGGTAGTGATGAAGGCAGTTAGGATGTGGTTGGGAGTAGTCTGTTTGCCACTACCCTGTTATTCCAGTCATCAGATCTCAAATATCACTTCCTCAGATCCTTTTTTTAATCTCTGTTGAAGTGGGCCAGGCCTCTGCATTATGCTTGTCTTTAATAGCTTGTTCTTTTTTGTGGCCCTTATAAGCAACAGCTGCTATAAAGCTCCATTTGTATCTCCAGTGTCAAAGATAGTGCCTTGATCAATAAGTATTTGTTAAATAAATTTCAAAATCACCTATATGAAATCTTCTTAGCCTCATATTCAGCCGCCATTCAGTTAGGGGCATCTTCTTTGTAAACCCCTAGTAGCCAGTGTGAGCACCTTTACATTTTGTTGTAATTTTTTGTTTAATAATGTGTCTGGGGTACCTGGCTGGCTCAGTCAGTAGAGCGTGTGACTCTTGATCTCGGGGTTGTAAGTCTGAACCCCATTTTGGGTGTAGAGATTACTTAAAAAAATAAAATCTTAAAAAAATATATGTCTGTAAGCTTTTAAAGGAAGCAGGGAGTCTGTCTTGATCACCTCACCTCTGAACTTCTGGTCACATAGTGGTGCTCAGTAAACATTTGAACAGCTTTTTTCAGGGAATGACTGTCTGATTGTATTGAAAATAACCATTACCTTCTTAGTAGCTCTATTAATTGTTATTATTTGTATTTTTTCTTTAGTGAAACTGATGAAAGTTGTAAGAAGCACCTTGGAAGGGTATTATCTATTTGGGAAGAAAGGTCTGTTTATGAGAATGATGTATTAGAACAACTTAAGCAAGCTCTGTGTAAGTGTGTAATCTTTTATCATGATCTCTTCGTTAAAATGTTTGCTTTCATTAAAACTTCAGTGTTCTTCCATTTCAGATGGTGATAAGAAGCCTAGGAAGCGAACTTATGAACAGATAAAAGTGGATGAAAATGAAAACTGTTCCTCTCTGGGATCTCCAAGTGAACCACCACAGGTAGAAGTTTTTCTCTGTTGAGGGAGTTTTGCTACTGTAACTTCATGTGGCCACGAAGCTTTATTAATTTCAATGTTTTACTTCTATAAATTGATTTTTATTATAATTCTGAGTACACGAAAGAAGCTATGTGAATATCTCTTATTTTCTGATTAACAGATTGCTTATGTTTGATGTATGTTGTATAATGTATATATTAGGCAACTGTATTTTGCATAGAAAGAGGATATCTGATTGCTAAATATGAGGTCTAGGGAGATATCCACCATTTAAATAGTTTCCTTTTAAATAAATAAAACATTATGTGGTAAGACTATTTTGTTATATGATTTAAGTACACTGAAAATGCCATTCCTAGAGATAAACACTGCCCTTTAGAGTATTTTTTCTTTTAAACATGTAAAAATGAGTGTTACAGTAACAAGCATGTATTTATACAGTTCTGTGTAACTATAGAACCATATAGTTCATGGTAAAATAAGATGGATTAGAGTCATTATCTTAAACCCCGTGTCCTCCCAGGTTGGTACAGTATAGCATTCTTTAGCCATCAAATGATTCCAGAAAAACATTTTTAACTTTTAATTAATGTGGGCATTGAGTGTTAAAGCTTCCTCCTTCTATGTTTCAAACATATAGGAGGGACAGATAAAATTTAAAAGGAGAAAATGAAGACATAGCCATACTCATAAAACAAGGTAAATATCTTCTTGGGCTAGAAATGGTACAGAAGCACAATATGTGAGCCAGAGCCTAGTTCTTGCTAAGCTTTGGTCCGGGAGTACATACTGGCTTTTCCAGAAATACTAGGGTAATAAGAACTCAAAAGTGCTCCATGGGAGTTGGAGGACTGGACCTGAATTCACTGCATGAAACCAGAGGCTGGGTGAAACTCTTTCCCAATGAAAGGAACTTGAAAGAAAGATAAAACCAATCACTGCCTAAAACTGTGGGTGTATTATGTCACTGTTAATACTGGGGAGGCAGAAAGAATCTCAGCTAGGTACTCAGCCAGGACCTGATCCAAACTGCCTGTTTACTCGTTGACAGGAGGTGCAGAAGCCCACATGATCACCAGGGACAAAAACTTGAGGAAAAAATAATAACATTAACATTTCAAATAACCAAACACTAAGGTTTATATTTCTTTCTGTTTGGTAATAATTAAAACAAAGCACTTTGTGCTGAGAGCCTTATTATGATTCCATGAACAGTATTTTACCCAAGTTCTAGATGCAGGGTCTGATCCTCTTGTGTTCTCCCTGATGAAAAGAGTAACCTCAGTTGTACATCTTAGGAGTATCTGTCTGACTCTAATCTAGTACTTAAATAAAATGCTGATGCTTTTCATTTTATAATGACTATTTTCAGATCAGTTGTACTGCTTAATTCTCAGTGGTTCAGCTTTGTAGCTACCATTTTATTTTAAGAATGGCTAAAATTTCTCTTTGTAGGATCCAGTTGAACTCATTTCATTCTCTTCTATTAGAAATTGTAGGCTAGTGTTGTTTTCATACAACTTTGCTTTTTTATCTGATCCTTGACCTAGCACTGGAAACTTAGAATTAACTCATCTGGGAATGTAAAGGTGAGATGAGAGCAGATTGTAGTTAAAGCATGCATATCAAGACCATAAACCCAGATTACTTCTCAGAACTTCAGAAAATTTTAGACTTTCTAAGACTAATTTAAAAATTACTATATAAAAGTTAATTGGGGCACCATAAGAAACAAGCTTCCTGATAATCATCATTGCTCTTAAGCTCACTTTCATTTGTAGGGGGATATATCTTACATCAAAATTTTGTAAAATATTAGAATATTAAACACATAGTAATGAATTAAAAGCATGTGTGGGATAGTATATTTCATATTAGATTCCATTCATTCTTAATCATGTTTGATATTTACTTTGAGCTAGACCCCAGTGACAGCATTTTTTTGTAAGGCTTAAAGAAAAACCAGTAACGATCTGTCAGTGTCATCTTTAATGGATACACAGAATTGCTTATATCCTATATTTTTCAAGTGTGTGTAATTTCCTGCTGTTCCAGGAACTAGTCTTAGAGATTAAAAAAAGAAAAAAAGAAGGAGGTGAGATGGAAATAGAGACCAGTAAAAAGAAAATGTATTTATTTTTCTCTGGAATAAATTTATAGACATTATGAATTGTGAAGTTACCAGCAAAGGCTTGCTGTTCCCTCCTAATTGTATCTGATATGAAAACAGTGCAAGTAAAATATTCTAATGATAAAATAATTTTTATATTGGCTAAGTGTTTAGGTAAGTATTAGTCATCAAATACATGGAATTTTGTGATATTTTAATGATCTTGTTAACAAACTGTAGAGTAGTTGAAGATATCATATTTAAACATATTCCAAAACTACATTGCTCTTGTACTTTAACTACATCATGTAGAAATACAATTGGTAAGACTCTTCTTTGTTGTAGTAGAACATGATTTGTATCCCCCTGCCCCAAATATCCAATTTAGTATTAAAAAAAATTCTGCTCATGTGTAATGATAATATAATGAATATGTCATATGTACAACTTGTATTGTCTAGGTTGAAGTTATAGCTTGCTTTCCCTTTTGCCACTGTATGTATTTGGCATATAAATGATGCATGTTACTTTCAGAGTCTGATAATTATTTTTACACTATCTGTCTCTACCACTGGAGTATGACTTCCTCAAGGCTGAGGGCCATGTCTTATTTTAGTTTTCAATTTATATATTTCCAACACTTGACATAGTATAGTTTCTTTTTCTTAATATTTCTTAAAAGAAATGGACTGCCTTCAAAAGTAGTTTATATTTAAAACTTCGAACAGATATATAGCCCATAAGTAGTAAGGAATATGAAATAAATTTTAAGTCTTTTGTATTTGTTTAAGCTTCATTTATTATGGTTCTGAAGTTGTATAACTTTTTAGACTCTAGATCTTGTTAGAGCATTACAAGATCTAGAGAATGCAGCCTCAGGTGATGCAGCAGTTCATCAGAGGATAGCGTCTTTGCCTGTTGAAGTCCAAGAAGTATCCCTACTAGATAAGATAACAGGTAAGAAAGGAAAAATGTGACCTGGAACTTTTTTGGAAGTCAGGGTGAGGGAATGGCATATGGCATTGTTTTTGTTGTGTAATAATGTTGTTATTCTGTGCTTTTCTTAGATAAAGAATCTGGAGAAAGGCTTTCTAAAATGGTAGAGGATGCTTGTATGTTGCTGGCAGATTACAATGGCAGATTGGCGGCTGAAATAGATGATAGGAAGCAACTCACTCGAATGTTAGCAGATTTTCTTCGTTGTCAAAAGGAAGCCCTTGCAGAAAAAGAGCATAAATTGGAAGTGCGTAACCTTTTCCTTCTTTAGTGCTTGTTTAATTTATTTCTTGGGTAGGCATTTCAGAATACTCTGTTTCCACACATTTTGCATTTTTTGATATAGACCTTTTTAGACAATGGCCCAGGTAAGCTGCTCCTTGCAGGAATGGGTTTCTTTCTACTTGAACCAAGTCAGCAGCCTAAGTAAACTTAGAAATTTAGTATTATGAAAATTGGTTGCTTTATAAAATTATTCATTTGGAATTCCAATAATAGTAATTCATCTGAAGAGCTTAAACTCTTATATTCAAGAACAGAACTGTGGGAAAATAGCAGTATAAAGTCTGGTGTCAATTACAGTAAATTATGGTTGGATTTCTTGAATTCCTGTTCTGAGTACATGTATGTACTTTTAGGTATACAATCAAAAAATAGTTTTTTTGGCATAGAATTAATTGTGGGTATGCTAGTCCCCCTCTCCCTGTCCCTGTAAAGTTTATCAATTCCGTTCAAGAAGTTAGTCTTCAAGTTAGTCTTTCGTTCCATCCCTGATTCTAATGTTTAACATATTCCCACCTCACTCCTGGCTCATACACAATCTTTCGTAAAAGAAAGTCATCACTCCTTTAAGCTAAGTGGTGACTGATACTGTTGATGAGTCTGGAGGTTCAAGGGTGAGAAACATTTTCCTATTTCCTTTGAGCAGAGTAGCTGTTGTCAGGGGTGGTTGGACCAGAATCTTTTTTGACTAGTTCTTGTTTAAATTGTTTATTGCTCTAGCAATTTCTTATTCTATATGTATATGTAGGAGAATTTCTAACTTGTCTGGATCCCTTTATTTAAGCAGTTCTCTGTAAATTTGTAGGTATGTTATGATACTGCCTCTACTAAGTTGCTTTTATTAGTGTCTAGTTCTTGTTTTAGCGGTCTCTGCCAAAGAGGATCGTCATTTCTACCTGTGCGACCAGTTATTTGATCAAGAGCTCTCCCACCCCAAATTCTCAGCTTTTAATTTAGCATTACCCCTTTACAATTTGGAGCATAGTTAATGGCACCATGCTCTACCTTGGAGAGAGCATGTACAAAAGGTTTCCCAATTGTACATAGAAAGGAAAAGGTAAAAAATTTTATGAAGATACATACGATATTTCACTTGGCTAGTTTTTGATCTTGTGATGTAACTTCAGTCTTAAACATATTGTTGCTTGTTTTATTGTTAGCAGACTTAAGGGTAAGTAATGTTATGCAATTTTTGTCCTTAGTCTTTTGGTATGGTTTCTTTAACTTCTATTGAGCTTCTGTTGCAGGTATTGGACATGGGCGTATCTTCTAACGATGTCATCATCATTAGCATATTCTTCCTGCTAAAAATAAATATCAAACTCCAAAGCCTGTATTGTCTCATGTTTTTGAAAATTGAAGACTGAAACTGTTATTCTACTGTATACTACTTTTTCACTTAAGTTGGTTATTTATCACTGGTTACAAAAATAGAATTTATGTTTGAAATGTTAGGAAGTGTAGGAATCAGATGTCACCCTCCAGTTCCCTCTTTTCCCAGTTCCTTTCAACTAGATTGCCTAGTTGATGGTTACAGGTGGTGAGGCTGATGATCATAATAGCAGTAACATTTACCGTGTGTTAGGTACTATTGTAAGCACTTCACATCTGTCAACTAATTTAATCCTATATAGCAGGAAGAATGATCCCCATTTTACAGGTAAAGAAAACCGAGGCATAGGGAAATTAAATAACTTGCCCAAAGTCAGAAAGAGGTAGTGAGTTGTTAAGAACCCAGGAACTCTGCCTCCAAAGGGCACATTTGCTTCCAACTTTTACTTAAAGGAATTTAAGTTCACAGCAAAAGCTAAAAACTCTCTCTTCTCCAACTCTTTCTGCCTGCTCCCTCCTCAGAGGTAATCACTGTCTTAACGGGTTCTAGGAACGTTTTTGTCTTTCAGCGTGACTGGATATTATCATATTAAAAAGAGACCACCTAAATTGTGCTGAACATGTTTTTACAAGTAATTAAAATGTAGATTTCCAATAAATTAGGAAGTCATTCCACAAAACTCTTTGTAAGTTATTATTTATAACTAAGTGATTTCTTTGTCAGAAGATTATGGAAATGATTTGAGATATTTAGACATTTTTTGTATCAAGTAGGTGGCATCACTGAAGTTGAAACTGAGAGGTCAAGATTTATACTTACCATATATATAAGCTGTGATACCATCAGATAGTTTTCAGTTATCTGCATCTTCGAACATCAACTGTCATTGACCAGGTATTGATGAGTCGTTTTTTGTTTTTCTTTAAATCGAACATAAATTTAAAGTATTCATTCAGGGATTGTCTATTTCATATTTCTTAGGGAGGTTGCTATTTAAAGCATTTGTAATGAATGAAACCATGAAATTATTTTGGAAATTATGAATCATTTTTAGAACTTGTGACTAACTTTAGCTGGTTATTAAGCAGATAACTGTTAAAATAGACTATTAATCTAATTTATATTTATAAAATGCATGTCACAGATTGCTATAGAAAATCATTTCACCATTCAGAAGTTGAAATTATTGAATAAACTCTTGTTCACCTAGTTTATTATTTTGGAAGGCATTCATGGATAGGGGACTTTAACATTTTGATTTTGATACTGTTGTGGAGGGGAAAGTATAGAGATGAGCAGTTCTTTCACATTTAATAAGATAATGTCTTTGATGCTCTGTACAGCTGGTATAAGGAAATATGCTTTTATAAAATCCCTATTTTATGTCATAATATCCGGATGTGTTTTAAATTCCTAGAATTCCATAGAAAATTGGAAATCACCATTTGATGGCTCTTAAGTCAAATTATAGTTCCAAGTTCTAGAAGTCAGGATGGGAAAACTGTCGGAGAGGACTGTGTTTATCTTTTGCAGTCCTACATCAGTATATTCAGATTTAGCTCATTTTTTAAATGGAGGGCGTAGTATTCATTGAGTGTTATTTATTTATTTAAGTCTGTCCCTCTTCTCATGGTATCAGATTGCAGCCACTGAGTTGCTTTTATTAATTTTGTGCATCATAGGTAGTGCAGCAGAGAACATCCTGGTGAGGCAGGCTTGTATAGTTGTACAAGTATATCTGCAGGATTGATTCTCAGAAGCAGAATAGAATATCTGAGTCCAAGGGAATGTATGTTTATGTGTTGACAGGATACTCAAGTCCACCAAAAGGTTCTGCCTTTTTATTTTTTTAATTTTTTTTTTTTGCTGCATTTATTTGTTTATTTATTTATGAGTATAGTGCACAGTGTTATATTAGTTTCAGGTGTAAATGTTCTGCCTTTTTAAACTCCATGCAGTATGAGTGCATCTTGTCCTGTACAACCTAGCCCACACGGAGTATCAGTGATTTTTAAAATTTTTGCATTTCTGATAATTTAAAAATTATTTTTTTGTTCACTCAGATTGGTCATCTTTTAAAAATATTTACTAGCTATTTTTGTTACATATTCCCTATATCCTTTTGACTCCTTTTCTATTTGGTTCTAAGTTTGCGTGTTAATGTCTGTCTTTTATATATTCTGGGCTTTCTAGATATAGTTAAGATGGTGTTCTCAGTTCATAACTTTAAAAATACTACGCTATTTTTCTGGGGTGTTTTCCTAATTTATCCATTAGGATTTTTTAATTTATGGTGTGACATAGGGATCTAATTGAAAGTGATAGTCAATGTCCTTTGTCATGTATTAATGATTAATGAGTTAATGACTCAGTCTGTCTTTTATTATGTTGTAAAATGCCGTTTCTGTTATACTTAATTCCTATATATGTATACATGGGAATGTAGTCTCTTTTATTCTAGTGGCCCATTTGTCTTACCCACCTTTAATTATGCAGTAGATTTTTGTTCGTATTATTTTTGGTATTGTTCATGTCTACAATTTTAACTAATAATGATTGTTGTGTATATGAATTTTTACTTCCTTTCCACTTACTTTTATATGTATTTGCTTTCATACTTAATATTTCAAATGACATTTTCCTAAGTAGTTATTTCTTACTTTACTTGGCCTTCTCCCTGTTTCTGAACACATTGTTTACTTTTGTTGTCCATCCCCTCTGTCTGCTAGACAGCATTATCCAGGATTTTCAAGAGTGTTACACTTTTCATAAAACTTCGTTTTCCAGAAAGTTCAATTTTCATTTTTTAAATTTTTTATTAAAACACAGGGCTAAGCCTTGTTATTTTATGTCATAGTTATTTGGAACTTGTGACTAACTTTAGCTGGTATTATGGTTAATTTACTTTTCAAGAATCATAATCTTAATATTTTTTATTCAGTTAAAATTTATCTTAAATTTCGTTTTGCTTGAGACATTTAATGATTAGAAATTCCAAATGTCTGCTCCCGCACTGTAGGAAATAAGAATGTTTTAAATAGCACTGAAAGTGCAGATATAAAAATTTTCCTGAAGGTGTTACCTGCACATAGCTTTTTGGTGGTTATTTATCAAATTTTAGATTTTATTAAGGGTATAGTGGTAAGGATATGGAGAACTGATTATGGAATCTTTCATCTGTAGTTCAGTTATTTCTTACATTTTACTTTTTTTCACTGAAATCATTGATTTAAATTTAGAAATAATTTGATAAGATGCAGCTATATGGATTTTTTTTAAAGACATTACTATTTGCTTAATGGTTTCTTATTTTTTGAGATCTAAATATCATTAAGTGTAAAATTTTTATGATTAATTTACTTTTCAAGAATCATAATCTTAATATTTTTTATTATGCAGTTAATCTATTTTCATCATAGGAAAAAAGCTCCTTTTTTTTTTAAGATTTTATTTATTTGACAGAGAGACCATGAGAGAGGGAACACAAGCAGTGGGGGAGTGGGAGAGGGAGAAGCAGGCCTCTTACTGAGCAAGGAGCCAGACGTGGGGCTTGATCCAAGGACCCTGGGATCATGACCCAAGCCAAAGGCAGACGCTTAACAACTGAACCACCCAGGCACCCCAGGAAAAAA